CCGGGGTTTGACCACCCACATTCAAGTACCTGAACGTCCTTTTTAAATGGTGGGGCCCAGAACTGCACACAACACTCAAGGTGAGGCTGCAGAAACGCTAAACACAGTGGGATAATCCCCTCCCTTGGCCGGCTGGTCATGCTGTGTTTGATGCGCCCCAGGATGCGGTTTGCCCTCTCGGCTGCCGGGGCTCCCTGCTGGCTCCAGCCTGCTGCCCACCAGCACCCCCAGATCCCTTTCTGCAGGGCCGCTCTCCAGCCACTCCTCTCCCAATTTATACCTGTGCCTGGCATTACTCCGTCCCAGGCGCGGAATCTGGCACTTGGACTTGTTAAATTTTATGCCGTTGATGATTGCCCAATGCTCCGGTTGAGGTAGATCCCTCTGCAAGGCCTCTTGTCCCTCCACAGAGTCAACAGCACCTCCCAGTTTGGCATCGTCAGCAAACTTGCTAATGGTGCATTCAACTCCTGCATCCAGATCGCTGGCAAAAATATTGAACGGCACTGGCCCTAGGACTGAGCCCTGAGGAACACCACTGGTGACCGGTCGCCAGCCAGATGTAGCCCCATTCACTACAACCCTTTGAGCTCTGCCCTTCAGCCAGTTCTTCACCCAGCGCACCGAGAACCCGCTCATCCCACAGCTGCACAACTTGTCCAGCAGGATGCTGCGAGGGACAGCCCTACTAAAATCTTTATTAAAAAAAAACTCAAACTGAGGAAACAGAGACAATGCCTGGGGTTTGTGGAGGATCAAGAAGATCCTGAGTCAAAAGGATTGTTCCATAATAATCAGCGACTCCTAAGAGGTATAAAAGACACGTCCAAACATCCCTTATCCTCCCGCAAGTGTCCCTGGCCAGACCATATGGACGTGCAGCACAGGTGACACATGCTTGTGCGAGGGCATGCAAAAATGATGAACATGAGTAAAATCAGCCTACTTTAACAATAAGATCACCCTCCTCTTCCATCAGGTCTTGCGCTGACTTCCGATACTTTCCTACACCACCATCTTCTTTCTCTCGCCCTCCTACTTGAGTAAGCCTGGGGTTTTTTAATGCATTTTTTGCAATCAGGGGTCCTCCTGAATGCCAGACAGGCTGATTTTGTTTTCCTACTCTTTTATTTTCCTGACTATTACCAGATCTTCCTGAGGCTCTGTGGCCTCACCAACTCGAGCAGGGTGCTGGATGCAGGCACCAGTCTGCCCACTGGCCAGGGAGCCTCAGAACCACCTCCGCCAGGGTAAGGGGGCACCTCGGGAAAGTAAGTTAGTACTGGTAATCTCCAACTGGTAAGCTCCGAAATCTCTTTTGCCTTAATGCACCACATGCACAGTACAGAGAAATCTCTGGGTGATTTTAACATCACTGTCATCGTCTCCACCCAGCCTAGTCTAGTTTGCTGGTTAGGAGGGATACAGATTTTACATCTCTCTGTAAATCATTAGGATAATGGCTCTTGCCTTCTGCGAGAGCAAATCAGGACTTGCTGTCAAGGTCAGACTGGAAGACAAGGAAGCAGGAAATAATGGCATGCCTAAAGCCTGATCCCGCCAGCCCTGGGATCCCCTCCCTCAGCCTGGCTGCTGGCATTTCCCCTCCAATTGACACTACCCCGAAGTCAGGTCTCCGGGCACCCTCTCTTCTCTGGCCAGTGTTCCAGGACTGCAAACCTGTACCTGCGTGCTGTACGTAGGACAACACCGATGCCTACTGGGGACAGCCTGCAGGTGGTATCATTAAAGAGGCCATAACCTGATGCTGTTGTGGGCTTTCGGACAAGCATATCAGATCAAAACAAGTGACGAAGAGCAACGTTTTCACTTGGAGATGGTGGTATAGCATCCACAGGTTCTTCTCCTGTGCCCCTGATGCTTCACTTGCACACCGCAAGTGCGAAAATGCCTCCTCTGGCTGGTGTCACTTCACTAATAAATGAGAGCAAACTAAGGGGAAAGAGAGCTGGAATACCCCCACACAGTATCTGCATGCTTGGTTTCAGTGTTCAGATTAAATAGGAAACCCACACGGTCCAAAACCAGCAATGTGCTCTTCTGCAGAAAGAGGAGCTGAAAAGACGAACCACACACGAAGTGTGTGTTCCATCACACTAAGGAAATAAGACAAGGAGCATGCCAATGCTTGCTTGATCCATCAGCTGGTTTATGGCTAAAGCGCAGTTACCGAGCTAGAGATGCCATCCTCGCGTGATGGTATCTGCTCACTTCTCGGTGCGTGTTGCTTTCAGGAACTGGAGGGCAGCGTCTTGTACGGATTGAGGATCCCTTTGGGGTCTAACATGGCCTTGAAACGCTGCATTAGAAAGACGGCCTCATTGGGTTTGCTGTACTGAATGAACTGCTTTTTCTTGAAGCCCAGTCCGTGCTCTGCACTGATACTGCCGTTGTATCTTGCAGTCCACTCATACACAAATGGCTCAATGGCATCCAGCAGGGAATGGCTATAGGACTCCGCCGTGATGTTCAAGTGCAAGTTTCCGTCTCCTGGAAGAAAACATTGCAGAGGTGGTTCTGTAAGAAAAACTCAGTGGCCCTGCAATGGAGACTCATTATCGTCTCCTCCACGTTAATCAAACAACAGTGCCTTCGTTAGTCTCCAAACTGTGTGAAAAAGGACAAGTTCACTGTCCTTCTACAAACATCAGCCTCTCCATGTACAAATGACTCAAATAGGATCTTTGTTTTTCCACGCTTTCAGTACAATATTTGAGGAAGTGTTCTGAGTTAAGGTACTTTCAAATTCCCACTCTTTGTGATTTTAAAATTCAAACAACCGTGCTGCATTAATTATTGTCTCACTACCGCGATAGCATGCCAAAGATTTCCCCAATGGTATTTCATAATGATAATTAGATTTTAATACGGCCTTTCATCACTTTCTCTCTCCCTATTATGCTTGTGCAATGTTCTAAATGTACTTTGGCACCGTGTAAACAGAAACAAACCATGCAGAACATTTTCTCCTTTTGCCACTTCCGTGTGATGGTGTTTTATTAAGTACACAGTTCCTGGGTATTCAGAAGACAAACCACACAAAGATAAACACAACTTACTCATTCTCATTCCGGAACCTCTTCCTGCGTCCCAGCAAACCCTCCAAGTACACAGCTTAATCCTCAATACCAAGAGCTACCAGAGGCAGCCTTTGTTATGCAGACTTGTCTTTCCATGTCTTTCAAATAATCTCACACCAAGCGTGCTGAAGAGTGTTCTGTTACTTTTTTTTTTTTTTTTTTTTTTAAACAGAACAGCTCTGCTAAGCTACCAATTTACCTGTATGTAAAATCAAATCAGTTTCAAAGCATTCTGACCGGCCTTTCTGTGCATTACTTTTACCATTCTCTTTTGGAGGGTTAATGGCTCAGACATAACTGATTTCCAATACAACTAATCACTTTGGACAAGAAAGTGTTTATCTACCAAATCTGTCTAAGTACATTAATCAAATTGACGTTCCAATTAAAGAACCTACATACTTAAATAGAAAGTACAGAGCAAGAAGATACAAATGACAAGTTCAGCGGCTGGCTGGCTAACAACCTGCCATGAATATATGGAATACAGTCTGAAAGCAATGAAATTCAAACATGAAGATCCTTACGCATCCTCCTCTCTGACAGCTCTCTGCTATTTAGTCTATGTCTCTCACTAATCTAAAAACAACCTTTAAAACTACTAGGAAGTTGCACAGCAAAACCTGGAGCACTAAAGAGCAATCACCTCCTTTCCCAGCATCTACACTTACCCAAGTGGCCGTAGCCCACCACATTTTTGGCACTCTGGCCCAGCCGAGCCCTCATGTCAGTCACGAGATCATACAGCTTTCCCACAGGGAGAGAGATGTCGTATTTGTAGACATAGCCATCGTGAGTGAGGGCCTCTGTGATCCTCTCCCGCAGGCTCCACAGCATCTGATGAATCAAAGATGAAAGAAATCCGAATAAACCAAGCACCTCTTGGGTTCCATGCTTTGTGGCATGGAGGGAAAAAGAGCCTTGATTCATCGCATATAACATCAACTTCTGATTTCCCTTGGTATCCTCTGCCTCTTGGAAGCTAGTAATAACACTTTCTTGGCAGCATCCTACAGTAAAGTGATACACCAACTCTTCAAGCTTGACACTACCCCAGATAGAAAGAACACAGGCCTGGGCATTCTCTCCAAAGCTGTTTTGGGTTTCCCAAGAAGCGGGGATGTGCCGCCTCCAGTTTAGTACTGCTAGGGTCAGTTTGGACACTAAGACTGGAAGAAACATGGATCGTGTTCGCTGGGCAGACACAAATCACTCTCCTCCTCACCAAGACACTATGTGTCCGTCTCGCTCCCTGGGACCACAGCCTCTGGCTCTAACACACTGTCACACTGGCCTGCAGGACTTTGCTCACTCCTGGCCTCGCTGACAACTCAGCTCCTCATTTTGATAGTTTTCAGGCAGTTTGGGTCCTACCCCAGCAACTACTGAAAGATGTAATTCATTATTCTAATCTTTTTGAAAGAGAAAATATCCACTGAACCCCAAATACTCAGGCTTTCTGGGAAGAATTAGCAGCGGTAAGTATTCTCTCTTAGCGTTCTTACTCAATATGCCAAATAAGCTACCAGATCACTCAGGGACGTTTATACAAACCTCAGTCTGAACATTTCCCTATTGAAAATACAAATCCAAGTAGAGAATCATGTCAAAGAGATTTGCACAAGAAGAAATGATTACTTGCCTTTATTTTCTTATCATCCGTTGCCACAGTTCCATCAGTGACCAAACCAGAAGTCATGGCCTGTTCTAGGAAGTTGTTCAATTTTTCTTCATCATGGGTAGAGTTGGAGCCTGAGGTTTCAATTACAACATAAAAAGGGCTGCCTGAAAGTGAGGGAGAACAGCATAAGCAGATGCTCCGCGGTAAAAACACAGGAATTTAGTGCAGGTTGTGGAGCTTTTCTCTGCCCAGATTCTCTGGTGCCATGTGGAAGAGCAGCTCAAGCGGCAATATTTTATCTGTTGGGCACTTCACTTACATGCTCTACCCTTTACCTAGCCACCACTTTTCAGAAAACTAGCAGTTTTGTGGGAACAAGTAGAAGTAAAAAGTCTTGTCTTTAAAGACTTCCATCAAATGTGTTTGGAATTGAATACTCGGTACAAAAATTATGAGGGATGCCCACACACTCATTGACATATATACACACACATATATATATATATGTAAAAAACGAGGCTAAAAATCCCCAAGCAGTACAATGCCTCTTTCTACAGCACAGATGATGCTGGTACCTGTCACTGGGCTGGACAGCTTGAGATGTCTCTCAACCAATTCCATGCACTTCTCATCCATGAACTCATAGGCAGACAGGATCTCTCCCAGCATGGCTCTGCAGGTTGTAAATGTTTCCAGAACCTTAGCAAAACTCTGACACCCTACAGACAGAACACAGAGAGGAAACAAAAACCAGCCCCCCAAAACCTTGTAAAAAGCTTTAAAAAGTCTATTAGGCTTCAAGTCATCTTTCCCATCTCTAGAAAATGTCAACTGCTATTCTGCATGGGTTTAGATCAGCAGTTCCTGTAATGGTTTGAGCTGGGAAAGGTTTCAGGGCAGAACAGCAGGAGGCTATAGCAATTAGTCTTTGCTGTGGCAAAGACCTCTTGAACACCCTAAGACCAAAATGTCTGCCCTACCCTCAGTTCTCAGCACAGGCAAGAAGGCAACCCAAGAGAAATTTAAAGGCCACTGTGAGAGTCCAGGCAAATTCTGGGGTCCACTACACATATTCCACAGATCTGTCAGCACTTGGAGTCTACTCATCCTCTCCTAGGAGTTTAGTTCTCTGCTCTCAAGGCCGCATCTGATACAAGCAAGCTGTTTGAGAAGCCCCTGCTGGCCTTGAAGGTTTTTGAGAAAAAAACAGTCTCAGTGAAGGCTCCCCACAAACAACTCTGCTAAAAAGGGTCAGCAGGGACACCCCTGCTGAGGCTCACTCAGAAGCAGCTTTTAAGCAGCTGTGCCTGACCACGTACCGTGCTGATCCAGACCCTGACCTGCAGACGTGACTTCCCAGCCTTGCCTTGTCACTATGGACTCACCCGGTGACCGCTGGATTGCGGCTGCCTCTGCCTACTGTCACCAGACTTGTCCTGCTCACCTCGCTCGGGTACTGTCAGACCAGGCCCTTGTCAGCGAGGACACTGTCCTGCCTGCCTCTTCATCCTTCCCTTGCAGAGCAACCGGCCCTTGCAGGTATTTTACACATTTACACCGCAGATATAAAATATCTGCACAAGTATTTTAACATACAGCACCCTACTATTTCTCAGAAACAAGCTGATGCTGGTAGTCTAGCTCAGCAGGCTAATCAGTGCTTTCTTCTCTCCATTCCTATTCCCTTCCCAGCCTCTCAATTCAGGTGTGCAATTATTAATATCAGCTCCTACCTAGGAATGCCAGATTCACAGCCTTAGGTTTCTGAGGGCAGAGTACAGAGACAGCAGTGATAACTCCCAAGGTCCCCTCGGATCCGATGAAAAGCTGCTTCAAATCATAGCCGGTGTTATCTTTGCGCAGAGACGCCAAGCAGTCCAGAGCTGAGCCATCAGCCAGCACCTGTGGGAATACGGAGACCCAGCCAAAGCAGCTATGTAGAAATCTGCCGCCATAAGCTTGGCTACTACCAAGCTGACAAAAAGCTGCCGCTAGCCTTGAGCAGTGGACACCAGCTGCAGCCCGTTCCCACCGTCTCGTCACTGTTCCTCCATTCCCAGCTCTTCCTCCCCTCTATATCCTACCTGAGTCTTCCCCCAAGCTCTTCTGCTTCTTTTTTTACGGTGCTGTTTGCACATGTTCCAGCAGGACAAGTAATAACAGAAGATCGAGTTTGCTCTGCTTTCTTACCAGTGGTGGACAAGATCAGCCATTCTTTGCAGCCCTAGCTCCCGTTATTCAATAGAAACGGGGAACGCTATTTGGAAGTGAACATAGTTAACCAGAATGAAGTAAGCCCTCCACCACTTGAGCCTTAAATCAAGGCTGAATGTCTCTGAGACATGTTATTAAAGGCTGTTTTGATGCTAGAGGGACTAACCTGAGAGACAAAACCCCTCCTTTCTGGGCCCACACAATAAAACCAAACCAGGTTTTTTTTACCTATCCAATTTATTTCCTATTAGCTCTCTGCTCCCAGGCCCCAAATTTTTTTTAGAACCACTACTTGCAGCCTTTACACACAGAAGCACAGGACTGTAGGGCAGAAGCAGGCTGAGGAACGGGAAAGACGGAGAAAAGCCAGCAGCCAAACAAACCCAAAGCGGACAGCTCTATTAAAAGTCAAGTAAGCAGCCATTAGAAGAGTGCCGTAGGATGGATTTAGCAGAGCTTTTCAGAGACCCACTGCTCCACAGAGGAACCAACCTCATGCAGGTAACTTAGGATCACCAAATCTCTCCCTACCTTCTTCTCCGGATTAGAAAGCCACCTAATATCACTTCCGTCAGTAAGGACAGAGGTGGAAGCTGGAAACTGCAGTAGCAGTAACACGCTACACGCATGAAGACACTTGTTGACCCTTCTCAAAAGAGCCATACAAGGGAAAGTTAAGAGTGGAAGCCTGGAGAGGAACTTGTCTGCATAATAGATAGCCAAGGGCTAGGACAGCAGGGAATGGGGTAAGAAGTAGAGGTTCAAACACAGAAGGGAACTGCCAGGTACTCGCCTTACCACTTCCAGTCCTAGCACTGTCCCTCGGAGAGAGCCGTATCTCAAGAGCCGTAAGCCTCCAGCATTTGTGGCCACATTACCACCGATGTGACAGCTACCTTTCGCTCCCAAGTCAAGCGGCATGATAAACCCCTGCTCCTCCAAGTACTCGTTGAGTTTCTCTAAGATGCAGCCAGCTTGGCACACAAGGATTCCTGAAACATAAACGTCCTGCTACAAGCTGATGCCCAAGAAGAAGGTGCCTCCTAAAGAGGCGGGATAAGTACAAGCAGATGCAACCACCTCTTCCTCCAAAACTTTCTGGGGTTCAATTTAAACGTACAAGAAGTCCATGCATGCTGCGGGACATTGCCCAACCCTTCCTCAAGCCAAGGGGAGCTTTGCCATTGCCTTAACATCTGGTCATCCACGACTCTGGACTGGTAAAACACAATGAGATTAAGTATATCTCTGCCTCCCAGTTGTTCTCTCTCTCTCTCTCTGTTTTAAGAACTGAAGTACTCAAACCAGCCTGGTTCCTAACTCTTCAAATCCAAACAACCTTAAGTTTTCCCCATCCCTCCCTTCCCTCTGCTAGTGTAGTTACCACATGCCTTCTTCAACGCTGTCATTCTGCTCCACCTGCTGGGCTTCTCATCTAGATTTATAAAGAGGTAAGAGGATGTCCATGTTTCTCTTCTCTTTCTTCCTCTTTCTGCCACCAGATGTATTTTTACATCTGCCACTGTAATAACCTAAGCATTAATTACATCAGCAGCAGGAGCCTGGATGAAACAAAACTATGACGCCCCTTATGATGCTGCTGGGCTGAACCTTGCTGATCCTGCAGTTACTGTCTCCCAGGAAAACGGCTGGCTGAGGGCCCGGGACTCGTTTCTGTGCCTCACGTCTCTACGATATTTACCAGACACCTTCTCAAAGCTGATGATCCGGTTCATGAGAACAGTGGAGAGAATGATCTCATCAAAGACAGGAACGCTGCCCCCAACAAGGCCTGTGTTACCCCCCTGGGGGTTCACTGCCAGGTTCCTCTCATAGCAGTACCTGGAAGGAAAAAGGTTTCTGAGGTCTTATGCATTTTAAGGCCATAATCCAATTTACCACAAGAATTTCACTTCCACATGAATGTCTACTGCTGTGCGAGTGCTCAACGCTCCTTAAAATTAAGCACCATTTAGCCTAAAGATTAAATTGATACAAAGGGACAGTTTCACTGCAGAAGCGAGAAAGCACAACTCCTCACCCAGCACTGAGCAAAGGAACAAACACTTGGGGTTACCTCCGCGCATATCTACAGATCTGCCTGGAAATCACAGCTCACGCTGTTTACAATTGAGCTATTTATGTAGCAGTTTCTGTTAACAACTCGACTTCCTCAGTGGGCTCTGACAGATGACCTCTGGCAGTGGTTTAAGACATTACTGCCCTTCCCCTCCCCTCAAGAAATTATCGCCCTGTAGGTAACGAAGCATGTGCATCTACGCCTCAGCTGCTTCACCTTCCAGCCTGCCATATCCCTGCAAAGCACCACTCATCGCATCCTCTCCAAACCCACAGAAATTCTTGCACAACGGATGGCACAAAGCCGCACGGCACCAGCAGTTCCTTCAGAAGCCCTGACTTTACTGTGCTCTATATATCTGTTTTAACAGAGCTAGGAGCAGGTTCATGCAGCTTTTAGCTCTTCAGCCAAACGGTGATCCTGCATACCGATGCCCAACTGGAGCCGCGCTCACACCAGCGAACCAGGGAAGCGTTCTTATTGATTTAGCGGACAAAACATTAACTCCTCAAACTGCCTGATTCTGGCCTAACCTTCTTCACCTTTTCAGATGGACCCTCCTGAACCCTTCAACACAACTGCTCCTCTTGAGCACTGGTTCAATGTCTAATTTTGAATTAGTAGAGCAGAAAAGTCATCAATACTGAATCCACTCGCTAATCTCTCCCCGCCATTTCTCTCCTCCACACTAAGCACTCTTAAGACCCTTCTACTCAAAGCCATCAACACTGATTTGAGAAGTCTGCTGCTGCCCACTTAGCCTTTGCAAGGACATCTGGCCAGGAAAGACGAATTTTATTTTGTGAAACAAATGAAAGTTTGGCCTTTGTTTCTGCCTAATACTGACACGACACCATCACCCCAGAAAAGCCGAGGGCCAGGGAGAGCACCGGGCCTGGGAAATACATGGCAGAGGTTCCAGCCCCTTTTCTGCCCTGAAAAATTTCAGCTCCCTATGTGAAAACATTCCTAATTAGGAACCTGTAGTTTTTTTAGATGAGTGACACTGCCTACCCACCAGCACATACCCACGGCATACCCCCAGACTAGCAACAGCATGCAGCTTCTCCCATCCTGGGAGCCGCTGGAACAAAAGGTACGTCAGGGAACAGTGGGCAGCCCAAGGGCAGTGGGGATATAAAGAGCAGAAGGGAGAGCTGAAGTCACCAGAGCTCAACCACAAGACATGCAGTCAAGAAGAAAACAGCTTCAGTAATTCCAATGGTCGAGCAATTAGTGCCTGAACATCTAGAAGTTCCCCTTCACCTGTTGCACCCTCTCAGACTAAACCTGAGTTTCCTCATCACTAATTCCAGCAGAAAAGATGCACGTTACCTGAGAGCTTGAGACACCTCTGCTGTCGTCTGCGGCTTCAACATCAGCTTGCTAGAGCCTGCAATGAAGGCAAGGGACTCTCAAGGCAAGTTGTGGGCTTTACAGAGGTCAGAAAGAAAAAGGTGGTAAAGCAAGCTGTCTGAAATGACAACACTCCCTCCACTGTGAGGCAGAGTCATTTTAACCACTTTTAAAACAAACATTTTCAATCGCGGGCTTTCCCTTAAAGCACTGTAAAAGCTTTGTCTGTATACGTAGATTTGGTTGCCAGTGGGGGCAATGGGAAATGTTTTACATTCTCATGAAACCTTTGACAAAAGTAACAGAAAATTCACAACAGTTGTTTTCTGAGGCTCAGCCAAAACTTCAGGAACTGTTAACTGAACCGATTTGTTTCAGGAAAAAATTAGTAAGTTAACAGGGCTTAGTTTTTTTTTTAATGAAAGCCTGAAAGATTACCAGAAATTAGGTAATTCTCAAAGGAATATTTTCTATGAGGAAAACTCATTTTGCCTGGTCTGTAAAGACACCGTCTGTACAGACATGGTCTGCTATAAACAGAGATGAGATTTTCTTTGGCAGCCTTTTCATTCTGGTACCTTCGCAAAAGCAGGAGAGGAGGCTTTATCAAAACTGAAGAATAAACACGCTCACTTACCTCGGACTGATTTAAGCCAGTCCACGTTAAATGGTTTCAGCTCTTCTGGGTTTGTGATGACTCTACCTGGCATCAGGCGCTCAAAGAAAGCCACATCGCCGTCAGACACTCGGGAGAAGGGCAGCCTTTTCATTCTGGTACCTTCGCAAAAGCAGGAGAGGAGGCTTTATCAAAACTGAAGAATAAACACGCTCACTTACCTCGGACTGATTTAAGCCAGTCCACGTTAAATGGTTTCAGCTCTTCTGGGTTTGTGATGACTCTACCTGGCATCAGGCGCTCAAAGAAAGCCACATCGCCGTCAGACACTCGGGAGAAGGGCAGCCCTAGTCGGCACGACCTCCTGGAAGCTGGAGGCGGCGGCGTGGAGCGCTCTCCCGCCCCACGGCACGGAAACCCCACTCGTGGCCGCACCTGGCGGTTTCCTCTGCTGAAGCGTCCCCGGGGCAGAAGTCGCGCTCCGCTGTGCCCAGATCCTCCCGTGGAAGCTCGTCAGC